CCCCAAAACCCCAAAACCCCAAAACCCCAAAACCCCACTGTTCTTCCAAATAATTGAAAGTCTTATTCAGTTAAATTATATTTAACACTTTTCATTTTCTTAAAAATTGGAGGTTCGAATTCTCCATCGGCTATTTGGTCCCACCGGTGTTCATTATCTGTGGTTTCTCTGACAATTTCCCTCATTTGCTAAATTTTATTGCTTAGAGTTACTTGGAAAGAGATAAGGGTCCTCTCAATTGGCTTTACAGGAATCTTGTAACTCGTCTTGACAATTCGCTTTTGTTTCAGTGAGTTTAAATCATTATTCTCAATAATTTCTGTGTATTCCTATTTTTAAATTTATAAGTAAAAAGATGCTTATTTCCGAAATCTGTCTTTTTCAGGTTTTAATAAAAGAAGGGTAAAATCTGAATTGATATTCTCTAGGAAGTTAGTACCTTTAAAGTTCCATCCTTATTATATTTTTCCCAAATTCTGCATTCTTTGATGTATTCTATTCTCAAGAACCTCAGGTATTCTCAGAAGTATACTCTTCTGACTTTGTAGGGTACAATATTTTTGTAATTTCCTATTCAAAACAATTTATCACAAAACATTAACTCTATATAAAATATAAATAGTAAAATAACTAGTCTTGATCTGAAATTCTAAATAACTTTTGCTAAAGCTATAAATTCTTGCTTATGACTCTGGCGGAAGGCTTACCAAACTGGTCAGTGATGCCATATATTCCTTTCCTAAAATATTTGGCTTCAATGACATTCCATCTATTGTTAAGAATGGCATATCTGAGTCTTCTGCGAGAAATATATTGCTTCAGTCTATTTTTCGACTTTAACCATTATGTTATAAAATTTCATCTTCTTGAGGTCAATTTTTCCTTCATTATCTTTATTAAATTTTAGGAATTGGTAAATAATCACTGCTTGTTGATGTTCTCTTTTCTTTAACCATTTCCTGCAGAACTTCCTTGCAAAGTATTGAATTTTATTTGCAGCTATTTTGTACCTGACTTTCTTGAGAAGCATTTTAAACGCTCCTAGACTTTTGGTGATCCATCATATTTTCCTTCCGATCTTTTGAACTCTTTCTCTAGTTTGCTTCCTCAGTTCAAACTTTGAATGAATGTCATGTAGAAAAGTGATAAGGATTGAGTTTTGGTAGAATTGATGAGTCTGAATTTTAATACTTTCAGGAAGGAATAGTCTAGATCTATGCTCTCTCCTCTCGATATTGCTCTTAATCTTCATCCTTTTATCATTCATCAGTTTGTCTTTCATATTATTTAACGATTTTTATCCTGTCGTTCTTACTCATGCTCGTTTGGGTGTTTCTCTCTAAGATTGATGTAATTTTGCCTCGTTGATTGTTGGACACAGTAGAAATATTCCTGAGCACATCGGGATCAGCCTTGGTTTTGTACTCATTTGAGGAGTTTTGGTTCTCACTGTTCAAATTACTTCTGTTAGAAGTTAGATCGTGCATAAATTTATTTCCACTTCTTTTAGTCAAAGAGCTCGTTAATCTTCAGGAGCTTTCAACGTTTCCAGTTTTGATGTTAAGTGAGTGAGATTGGGATAAATTCTTTCACTTTTCCTTATTTAGTCATGTATTTCTCTATTACTTGCTCTCTCTTGGTGGATAACCATGTCAGTTCTTTATTAGAAAGGCCATTTTCTAATTCTTCAAAGATGGTGTCATCTTTAAGGTATTCAATATTTACTGGGCCTTTTCGAAATAAGGAGCTGTACACAGAATCGACTGCTTTCGACTTTTCAACATAGATTGGTTCATCAATAATTCTTTTATTTATAGGTTTAGAAGACTCGTTTATGGGAGACAATGTTTTATTTGCTGGTTTGGCCACTACTCTGACCCCTAGGGATGCAGAAGAATCTTTTGTCTAGAATAAGATTAGACTCTTCATTAAAAAATATTCAAATACCTTTAAGTTTCTTATTTCTTTTGAAGCCTTGACTTCTGGAGTTCAGTCTGACTGAGTTTTCTCTTGACACTATTAGTCTGTTCTTCCTTTTTGAGTATTTCAATTTTGACTTCATTCTTTTGCTTTTGTGAGATGTTTTAGGATGGAATTCAAAGTTAACCCAGCTAGAGATGATTTTTAAATGTTACTTCTCTATTTTTACATTAGTTGACCTTAAAAATGATTCTTGTGCTGTTTGAGTTGTTCCAAAGAAGTTTGAGTTGTTCATGCTACTGTTTTTAACATCAATAGAATGATTTTTAAATGTAAAATTAGGACATATTTTGTCTTCATATTGATAATCAAAATTCTTTTCTTTGCTTAAACTTTTGTTATTTAATGCTTGGTAAAGAAGCTAGTAGCTCATTAAATTTATAATGTTGACCTAAGAATTAAGTATTAGATTTCACCTTTGTATTGTCGTTTCTTTTTAATTCTTTTAAGCTCTTTTCTAAGCTTCTCAAAGTATTGTTTTGTTGTTTTCGACATTTCACTTTCAATTTTTTTATAAACATTTGGGGTTTTGGGGTTTTGGGGTTTTGGGG